TAATTATTGGTTATTTATATAATTTATTAAAAGAAAAATTACATGTTAAAAATGAATGTAGTACAATGAATTTATCAAGCTGTAAAATAATGCACATGTTAAATGCTTAAATATTTTGTGTTGTTTATGTAATCATGTTTATGTAACAAGGCGTTTTAGTATACTTATTCCAGCATGGAATCCTGATCCTTTGTGTTGATTAAGATATTTTTATTTTGTTGTAAAGTTTTGTTCTCGAAGATGCTACATGCTTCTTCTCACGTAAAATGCTTTGCACATTCGTGAACGAGGTGCAAAGTTTTCGTAGTATATGCGTGGAAATAATTTTCCCTATAACAAAGTTTCGTTACTGTTCCCACGATTGATGACGATTACTTACAATCGTCCTACAACTACTCAGTCAAAACAGACATGGGAAGGAAGGGATTTTCTGATTAGAGATTACAGAATTGGCTTTTCACATGCTAAAAAAAAAAAAAAAATTAGGTCGAGATGTGTTCATTAAGCACATATCCTTTCCTTCTCTGTTGACAGACTAGTATGGAGTGGGAGGTTCAAAGAGATGGGAAGAGTGACGAAACTAAGGATGTACAGAACATGACTCCCAATCATCCAGATTCGGCTGTGGTGCAAGTTTCTCGCGAAAGTGCCATCATGGCTGGAAGTTCTCTCTGTGCCAATATGTCAGGGACTGCGTCTGAATTCTGTGGAAAATCACATAATCCACTAAGTCAAATCGTATCTATAAACTCGCACCATCCATATAAAAATAATAATATTGATCCGATGCAGTCTTACGAATCGTTAGCTGATTGTTGTCCGAAAGTTAAAATACCAGAAAGTGATATGCATAGGTCATTACGAGTAAATCAAGAACCGGGAATGTCTGTAATTCAGTCGACTTTGTGCGCAAACTTGCAACGTCCTACTTCGCAAAGTAGAAAGGCCGGTAGATTTAAACCCGGGTGGCTAGATATATATTCCTGGTTACAATATGATGAACGATTAAATCTTATGTTCTGCAAATATTGTAGAAAATGGAGCGAATCAATGCCAGATATTCGCACTTCGTTCGCAGCAGGAAACGGGAATTTTAGACTTGAGATCGTGAACCATCATGATAAGTGCAAAGCGCATAATTTATGCGTGACTAAAGAAAACGAAGCAAGAAAAAGTTACATTTACACGACAGACTGCTAGCTCAGTTATAATCCACTTGTGCCTATTTGTGATCAGTTTTCGCTCAATTAATTTAAAAGAAATTACTATTTATAAATGCAATATTTACATTATACATAATATATACACAATTTCACAAGATATTGACGCGAGATTCCAATAAACTCTCGAAAGTTTAAATAAACTCGATACTGTAACAAAACATATAAAGCATACTCGAACTTATAACAAAGTATATCGCAAGCACATTGTTATCTTCAAACTTTTTCTAATTCTTAAAGTAATTATTAAATAATATATATTATATTATTGTTAAACTATGTATACACTATGAAATGGATATATTAATGTTTTTATCTTATAAAGAATATATATATATATATATTTCTTGCTGCGATCGACAATATAAATACATATACTCTGTAACATTTATTTCACAATATTTATAAATATCACAATATTTATAAATGGTATAAAGAAATTAATGAAGTTTTTATAATATCCAAAATTGCATAAGCAATTTTAATAAATGAAAGAATAAAATATATAAATATAATTTATCTTATTAAAAATGTTTACATAATTACTTAAAAAAAGACGAAATATTTTTAGATTGTTACAAACTGTGGACAAAAATAACTTGCATTTCTTAAAAAATTATATATATATATATAATTATATACGTGTTATTAGGTATATAATTATTCCAACTAGTAGTATATTAATAGATTTTTAATGTATAATGAAAAGGGATACCAAAGCAAATATTTTGAATGTTCTGTGATGGATCCTTATATTTTAAGAAGGAATAAATCAATTATTTTAAACAATGCTTTTTTCAACTTACACTAATTAGAATACATCACCTTTTAAAAATTAAGAATTATCGTTAAATAGTGTGATCCAAAAACATTTAAAAAATAGACACATTTATCATAAAATATAAAACAAACTCCAATTCTTCCTTAATTATTATATAAAGTTTAGTTCTAAAATATAAATACTATATACATATAAATCTAAATATGAACATTACATGTTAATTGATATATAAATTTTCTGTACGTTATTTAAATTTTATTTTATATTGCGCTGGATGTGTGGGAAATCATGTTAGTACTTGAAAATTTTTTAATCCTAAAGTTTGACGATTTAAAAATCTTATCCTCACGTATTTAATAATCTGAAAAATACGGATTTGTGGGTCCAAAGAGTTTGTGTATAATTCAAAGGGTCTTATAAAAAATGATGATATATTTTTATGATGTATATTATGAATTTACATTTATATTATTGTTAGTTATTTATTTACAAATATGCGACCGTCTTGTGCGTAGGGTCATCCAGTTGGATTGATGGGAGAGGATGGTGGGACCACAACAGGAGCGCTCAGTGACGGTGTTCAGGGAATCGAATCATCTGAGCACCATAATCCCCCGGAAATGCTCGACGGACTTGACGGTAAGATACATATATTCAATTTTATAACCAAAATTTCATTTAGATTTAACATATTTCCTTTTGCTTCCTACGCCATCATTTTAACGCGAATAACGCGTACTTATATCGTGTACATATGAAGATGGCATTCGGTATTATCTCAAACGTACGATTAAACAGTCAAACATGATTAAATATTGCGTTTGTCACAGACAAACTGCGATAAAAGATTTAACAACACGTTAATCCATGGTTCGCTATAAAATTAGTTTACGACTCTCTCATTGTTTTGAATATTTGATTTATTTGCGCACCAGATAAGAGCGATCTCTTTGTCGATCAGTGTTTGGGGAAATATGTTACATCTAAGAAATCGAGGGAAATCTGCATGCACGTTTGCAAGAATTTAACACGAGTCGAGTCGTACGTAGGTGTCGTACGAAGCGAGCATCCCTCTATTTCCAAATCTGGCAAATGTAGTGAGTGTAACTTTAGAAAGTGAAAGACCTTCTCTCTCTCTCTCTATATATATATATATATATATATATATTATATACTATATATATATATATATATATATATATATATATATATATATATATATAATTTAGTACAGATTTTGCTACCATATTTTTTATGTATTAATTAAACTGCGTGGTAAAAAAAAAAAAAAACTGTTGTTTTAAAACGACAAGAAGAATAAAATTTATCTAGATTTTCATTTACGATTAAGATGCTTTTACAAGTAATTTGCAAAAATTACTTGTTTGAGAAATGCTGAGTTTCAATATTTCATGAATCGAAATAAATTTATAGTAAATTGATTCGCATTGAATAATCAATAAGATGTATAATATAAACTTAAATTATCGTATTAAAACAAAGTAGAAGTACGAGATTAAGATAGATGGATTACTAAATGATTGATTGTATCGTATTCTGAAAACTGTTGAGAATTTAATTATGTAATTAAACGGCAAATCACATGTATAAAATATCCATTACTACAATCATTGATAGTTTTATTTGCGATAATCGTCATCAATTAGCGTGCCTCTATTTCGTTAAGACAAGAAAGAAAATTAAGGATTCTACTGGCAGTTTAAAATCTCGTATATTGCCAGTCATCATCAATGCTAATCTTTGTATGTAAATACCGTCATCCTGTGTATACTATCGATTACTAATTCTCGTGAAATATCTGGCATTGAATTGATTTCTCTGCATTCCTGTACCAACTATCTGATGATCTCAAAAAAAGATGCCATGTTTTTAAGAAATATTAAAGTTTTATCGCGAACTCTTGCATAAAATATTATTTTTTATATTTAAATCCGTTTCGAGAAAGTTAGTTTGGTTGTTTTACTTGAAAATGAATTCTAAAAAATTAATTGAAATAAATATCAAAATAAAGTAGGAAAATAAACAATTTGAATTAAGTCCTATGTTGTTTATTAATAATATAGAAAAAAATCAATTCAGAATTTAACATGTTAAATTATCAATGTATAATAATATCGTCACTTGTATTACAGCAAAAACCGGAAGTTCGTTCTTGTATGCTCGATCAACTCTTATCTTACTCTGGTTCCGGCCGAAATCATCCGACTTTTGGATTGCAATCTGACTCTCGAAACTGCACTGTCGGTTTGACAACGAACTGATGCCCATATGTGCTATTTTAGTTGATTTCAAGTACATCATCAGCAGCGCATGTTTTAGATTTAAAGTGCATCCGCGATTGCCAGACATTGAATTACGAAGAGATGTTTGCATGTAGATATGATGAATGGTAAATATGGATTTAAAAATGGTTTTATCAATTAGTATCAATCCTCGTATAATATATCACTTTTCTATAATAATATTCTGAGAAAAATGTTTCTTAAATGGCTTCTCATCCACATAACGACTCTTGTTTACGGTAAAAAAATTAAATTAATTCATACGCAGTTTATGCGATTGACTTTACAGATTCACTCTCCATTGCGACGGAATAACAGTCGTAAACAGTGTGAATCAACCCTTAATCCATACAGTGTGAATCAACGCGTAACTTATACTTCCTTCAATCTTTGATTCACGCGCGCCTTCGTCTTGTCTGGTCGTAACCGTCTGCTATTATTTTTAGCGCGTGATCACTACTCTGTACGAAGACAAGGAGAAAGAGGGGGAGGACGTTTGTAAGACGGCTCTAACGCCGACCGTGTATATTAGGTCATCCCGCAGGCTTGGCTTGCATAATTATCGGCTCTTCTGTCACCAAAGCCCGACCCGCGTACAGCGTAGCGTTGCTCTTACCGCACCTTCAACCGCGGCACTCATCAACATGGTATGCGTAAAAATGAACACTACATGTGTACATATGTCTTATGAGATCGTGCGATAATTCGAGTTAAGTTATTGTTTTGTTAAGTGCTTGGCACTTCAATCAAACTGATCACGATTTTATAATAAATTATAAATTACAATCATCAAATTAAAAAGATTGAATAAACAGTATCGGGGATATTTAGAAAAAAATGTTTGATATTTTAATCAAACTAGTATGGATTCACAATGTGTTGTAACAAATTGCAAATTACGATTACGAAATTGGAAAGAAATCGAATAAACAATGTTAAATAACTGAAAACATATTTTACAGGGGATTTAAAAGTATTGCACAAGCGTATTTTACAGATACGGTATGCTTAAATGTTATTAGTCGATAAAATTCACCGATTCAAAGATGTGCAAGCGCAATGACACATGTGGAAACTCCTGCTAACGATCATTGAACACTCTCCCAAGTCTTGTTGGTAAGTCACGAGGAAAGATCCTTCGCTATTCTGCGCGGGTAATAATATGTATTATAAGAAAGCCTTGTGCCAGGATTTTCCAATTGTGTCACGAGGCAGTTGTATTTTTGCGTTAATGAGTGCCAAAGAGTCCGGTGAGCAGAAAATATAATATAAAAAATTAAATTAATTACAGCTTTGTGCGCGCGTGAGATCTAATCAGTATTTCACCGGTAAAAAAATCGATTATATTGATGATAAGGTTCTTATGTATGTTCATTGTGGAAGATCTTTCTTCTACGCTTCGACGTGTAGTTACATTTATCTATTAATATACAGTGAGTTCCTCATATTTTAATAATATAATACAACGAATAAACACCATGATCACTAATTTAGTTGAAAGAAGTTTGGTTGACTGCGATGACACAATTTTGCGAAGTATAACCATGTGTTTACTGCGTCGTAACATCGTGTACAAACTAGTAACGCGCTGGGTGAGTAATTCAAGTTCACTCACGCTTTCTCCGAATCATTTTAAAAGCGCGGGAAAACGGCTGAGTCTTAATATAGCGGAACTTGAAGAAACTTTTTATTCATACAGTCAGATACAGTATTCTTTCGCATGCCATACAGTTAACGGCGGATCGTCGCATCGTCGACATTCTCTTCATTAACGGTAAATCGAGTTATAATGTAATTTTAATTTACGCAAAACGTTTAATTTAGCTTCGTGAACTTTTTATTTTAACCGTGCGCAAGTGACAAGAATAGTACGAAAGTGAATATGCAAAGGATAAGTGAACAAATGCAAACATAAATGAAGCAAATGTATGAACATATAAGCTGTTGCACGTGCATCCTGTCGTGACGACTTTTACAAACAAATTATTACGCATTTGCTATCAATCTAATTAGCCACCAGACACATTCAGTCTGTGTGCGATGATGTTAAAGAAGATTACAAGTGACTTGAAAATACTCAATTATTCACACGGAGGATACGCGACGTTAACCCGTTGCGGTTTCTGAGGGTTAAATGATACTGGCGTCGCTGTCGTCTGCGCGATATCCTTGTTTTGAGATTTTTTCCGAGAAAACAATCTTGGACGCCAATTTTGTGTGACTGTTGC